TACCGAATGTTAGTGATTGCAGCTCCCACCACACACAATTTAAACTACAATGGACCGCATGCAAGAACATGTTTGTATTCTTATTCTAAATTTCTCTTCCTTTTGTTTATACAAAGGGTTCGTACGAACATGTCACGTCAGATTCAACAAACTCTTCTATCTTCAGGAAAAGTGTGTAAATGAGCTGCGTAAATTACACCTGTTCTATCCAGCTGCTCGTGCACACGAGAGGAGATTAGCATAATTACCACCCCAAAAACACCATATAAGGCTATGATTTCTGCCTCGGAAACAGCAGACTGCCTCGGAACAGCAGACTGACTGTACGTAAAATATACGACAGGTCTGGACCACTCGTAAATTTTGTTCGTATCTGAAAAAAATCTTAGAATACGAAAACATTGGTGAATGCCACAAATTCTCCTAAATCACTTGTACGCACAACTTAAGAACAAATCTGTGCGTACGAACGGTTCTTGCATGAGGCCCATTGATTATAATGGGTTAGTGTGTCCTATCTGAAATCTGTACTAAATCTTTTCAACATCACAGTTCTTGCTGCTGCTGAAAATGACACAGAACTGATAAAGGATATGAAGAAAGTCATTCTGCAGTATTTAAATGAGAAGTACTCCAACCCAGAAACAGATGAACTGCTGGATATGGCATCCTCCGTTGATCTAAGGTTCAGAGATGCTTACATCGCTGATGATCGCCGGGAGTATATCAAGACCAAAGTTGCAGCAGAAATTCAGGTGTTTCTGGAGATGCAATCAGCATCTGTCTTTAGCTATGTTTACATGTGAAAAATTCTTTGATTGGATTGAACTGTATTTGGATTAAATAATAGAAATGTATCTTTTACATGGGCAAAATCCGATCATGACAAGTGTTTACATGCACCATTCAGAATAGAAGCACTGACATGCTCAGTTGCTAACTTTCTCTATTTAAAAAAAAAAAAACACAGAAAAAAGTTTTACTTTCGTCATGAAGATAAACAAACAGCTTCTGAGCGCTCAGAATGGACCTGCGACAGGTTTTAATAATGGTGGTGACGTCACTGCACTCTCTGGTTGAGCTGCAGGTGACGCACAGACTTTTTTTTTTGCGAAGAGGCGCAGGCTGTGTGTCTTCCTTTATTGATACGGGAGGTAAAGTTCTGTCTGCTGGAAACCGGTGGATGAACATCAGAAGACATGCGCAGTCAGGTCAGTTTTCCACGATCAGAATACGATGATCAGATTAAGTGTTTACATGCACTGTATCGGGTCAGAATAATCCGAATGGGGTGTTTACATGACGCATTTTTATTCCGAATGGCCGTTTAATCCGATTACTTATGTCCATGTAAACGTAGCTACTGAGTCATTCCCAAGCACAAACCCACAAGCAGCAGGTGCAGCTGCGTCTGGTGAAGCTCCTGATGTTCCTACTAGGGAAGCAAAGAAGGTAAAATGGAGTCTGGGAAGATTTTTCAAAAAGATTTAAAATCAGCCTGGTTCATCTGCTCTCTCTGACAGAGAAACCATCGAAGTGGAGTTAAAGACTTACCTTCAGGCACTGAGGTTGATGTTGAAACTGACCCACTGGACTGGTGGAGACTGCATTASGCTAATTTTCCAAAAGTAGCCAAGAAATACCTTTGCATTCCAGCCACAAGTGCTCCTTCAGAAAGGGAATTTAGCATTGGTGGCAACATTGTTTCATGCCATAGGTCTCTGTTAAAGCCAGAAACTGTGGACAAGCTTGTGTTCTTGGCCAACAACCTGTAGACTCCAACAAATGACAGCTTGATTTTGAGTTTGAGTTCAAGTTTAAGTATTCAGTGTGCACTTTTTTATGTAAAATGCTGCTCTGTTGCTGTTTATTTTTTGAGTTAGCAGACAATGGTTAATTATAAGCACATTTTATTTAAAACAAATGGCAAACATTTGAAACATTTTGTACTGTTTTGCACTGTAAGCAAG